TGGGTATAGTATGTTTGATATGACAGTAGGTATGGTATGAGTGGTATGTATGGTTGCTATGATGGACATGGAATATTTCCTATGTAAGGTAGGTATGGTATGTATGGCATGTATGTTTGCTATTGTATGTATGGTAGGTGTGGTAATTACATTTTATATGTATGGTATGTATGGTATGTATGATAGATATGATAGGTATGGTATGCATAGCATCATTGACATGTATGGTAGGCACGGTATATGTTAAACACAGGTAGTGTTGTCAGAGTACACAGGTAGTAAATAGGAAGTAGATACAGTAGATACATAGCACATGTATATATGACTATAGGTAGCACGTAGGTACTTTGAAGGAGTATGTGTGCTACGTAGGCCGCCTAAAAGGTAGCATGTACCTAGTAAATGCGAGGCTGGTAGTCAGAAATGCTGCAAAGACCTAGCAAATACGAAGCTGGACCTCAGAAATGCTGCCATAGCTTGCAAATAGAAGGGAAGGGGGGTGCTACCTGGGGACCCAACCCATGGGTGGGAGGGGGGGTGGAGAGACGGAGGACGGGACCATATATATATATATTAATAATTAAATATATATATATATATGAATATATTAATGTATATCTATATATATATATGCATATTATATATAAATATTAATGTATATATTATATATATTTTTTAAATGTGTATATATATATATATATATTAGACTCTAGACCCTCCGTTTGTACTCATAAAAATTGTGTTTACCCTATCATTTTAGTACTTTTACAATCTTTTTGGGGGTATCGGGAGGGTCTAGGTATATATGTATATATATATATATAGATATAGATATAGTGAGTGAATATCCTCGGTCATAAAGTGCTTGACTTTTTTGTGGCAGGTCAAGCACTACTTAGATCATCATAATTCTTGACCTACATCCTCGAACCATCACCACATGGTTCGTATATGGATGATTGTTTGATTTAGACATTTAGCAAATTGTTGAATGCACACATCACGCATTCACGTGTTTTCTTGTTCAAACAAACATGTATAATATATATATATATATATATGACATATATATATGACATATATATATATATATGACATATATATATATGACATATATATATATATTTATATATATATATGGTACACTACGATTCCCCAAACGGGGCCATTAGCTGAGAAAGGATGGCCCCCTAAGGATGATAGAAGGTATCTGAATCTTTTGCCATTCACCAACCTGAAATACGGTCAACACATGGGATTAACCGGGTATGGTCATCCATAATTTCGGATTCATGATAATGGATATATGAATCCCTATGAGAACATGTTGGTATGACTATTCCCCAAGGACTGGGTATAGAATCTAACTGATTCTAACTCTGTAGTCATGGAAAATCGTGGAAAATCCACTATTTCTCGATGATTCTCCCCTTAAAGCCTCCATTGAGTTCGGGATTTCCTTGCTAGCCACGTTTGTGCTGAGGGATAAACCTAGCAAATTTCCTACAGCAACCTTGCAGGCTGCAGGCCTTGGAGAAAGCGCTCAGGCCATTGGGAACCTCCGAGAATTTGATGCCCAGGAACTTGGACAAATAGCCGGGGAATCTGGCGGTGGATCAGGCTGGATCAGGTTGGAAAATTCTAAATGGTTAGTGGGGTTATAACCTATAAAGTTATATCATGTTATAACACCTTTAAAGTATTGTTATATACTATTAGATTGACCATTATTTATGTGGTGCAATTACTTTGTGTACTAATATGTATGATGGTATATTACCGTTATTGTTGCAATCATTGTGATTGTTATTACTATTAATATTACTATGATAATTACGTGATCCCTATTATTGTCAACTATTCTATACATTATACATATGCACATGATCTTTCCAACAGCGTACGTATGGCATTTGCAGCATCCAAATAAAACTTGAAGCCACCAACCAGAAACCCATCGAAACTTCTCCATTTTTCGGAATGACAAATGCACCAGCCTCCAGTATTCAGGGAGGATATAGCCAATGGTGGCGAACATGGCAACCTCGGCAAATGCTGCTCTTCGGGGCTCGGCGCTGTCAATGGGATCATCAGTGATGCTTTCATCGTCACGGCATTGAAACCATCTGTCTGTGTTCCAATCAAAGCACTTTTTGATCATAAACTCGCCCCCGAACTGCATTGAATAACTTGAAATCATTTATAAATGTAAATACAATGACTGGATTTCTCAACTCCAAAAACAACTTACACTTTTAACCATACAAAAGCAACCAACACACCTCGTCAATTGATTCATTCAAATGTTAAACACCCTAAGATCCAATAGGATCCAAGTGAATCCAACATATTTTATGTTACCAATAGCCTTGGGGATTGGGGTGGTGCCACCTCTGAGACTCCAAACTCTGCCGTGTTTCAGCTCCACCTCTCTCCTCCTCTTGTAGTCCTGAAGACATGTGAAAAGCTGTCGCGTCGCTAGCTACAGTAGGTTGTTGTATGTCACTGTACGTCACTGTATGTCACTGATATTTGTTGTATGTCACTTATGTCACTGTATGATATGTGATCAATGATATTTGTTGTATGTCACTGTATGTCAAGATATTTCGAGAGCTTCACACATTTTGCTCCACTCGTGAAAATGCAATTGGACATTACCTGGCTGTTGGTTTCACTCGCAAGACCAAAGACGCTTGAAACCGACTCAAACATGTTACGACTTGCTGAGTGTGCTGAGTTCCTACATATTCCTACTGCCTTACAGCTGCACTGCTTTTGGTGTGTTTGAACATATGGTGCCCCATGGTTTAAAACAGTGTAAAACCAAATTCATCCCAATTAGCTGGCCATGTAATTACTGGTAGGATACTGCATTTTCAGCCAAAGCACATATCATATGAGGGTCGGGGCACTCTATATCGCCGGTATATCACCATATTTATTTTTCGGTTAAATCATCATTTTGTTGAATTAACATCAATCCTCACTAAGCAGCATGAAATTGTTCATATCTATTCATTGTATCCCATCTGCCATCCTAGTAAAAATCTCATTAAATCACCATCAGGTCACAGAGAGGTTGCCGCTGGTCGAAAGGCCCAAGGGGTCCCAGAAGCCGACAGGTGGCTGCACCTGCAGCTTCAGGATCTGACCATGTGTTTCTCATTGTCATTGTTGATCTCCAGGTGTATGAGTATGCGTATGTATATATATATATATATACACATTATAATGCTGTACATATATATATATGTGTATGTTATATTTCATACAGCCGCTGACAACATGTCTTTGTTCGAAGGGGTCAAAGAGTTCCATGGTAAAAAACATAGGTGGTGAAGCCGCAAGTGACAGAACAGGCGGGTCGAGTAGTACCTGTTGTAATCTGGTTGACTCTTCAGAGTTATTATGCAGCAATTGATCGTAGGTATCGACAATCACACATTATCCACAGCTTATATATCAAACAGGATGAAATATATATATATATATATGTGTATATGTATATATATATATATGTATATATATAATTATATATCAATATATTTATATATATTATAATTATATAGATGTATATTAATAGTACCCGCAGGTTTACTGCTGATATCTTCAATTAGACACTATCCCATCCCATTGCACTGCTTGGTCAATGGATATCCCAAAATGGTAATGGGTTAGTTGACACTCCCTATCATATATTACCCTCTGGTAAACTAACATAGCTATAGAAAAACACCATTTTGAATAGGTAGATCAACTATAAATGTGGTATTTTTAATAGCTATGTTGAATTACCAGAAGGTAACCCAAGTGCTATAATCCACAAAATATTGTTGCCAACCATCATCAATGATATCCCAACTCTTTCTAGTGGTTGAAAACCCGTGGTCCCAAAAATCCCCATATAATCAACCAACAGTTGAATGTGTTTCAACTGGTTCAACTGGGTTTGTCTGAGAATAGGGCACCCCAAAATTGGATGCTTGCACAGATAATTTTACACGTTCAAATTACGGACTTGGGACGATACTAACATGTTTTTCCAGAAACACTGTATCCCTGTGATATTTCCCTCTACCCTCTGGTAGTCAAACTTGGCTGGCTAAAAAAATCCACGATTTACTTCGATGATTTTCCCATCCATAGAATCTATACAAATCTCCATGTTCAAAATTGTCGTGGATTTCCCAGCCGCCATGGCCATGATGACTGGAGGGTATCCCTGAGATATCCCAGTCTGTTGATATCTACAGCCCATCAAGGCTATGGCTGGCTCGGGTACCACCATGGCCATGGCACACCAGTCTCGTTCTCAAAGGCTCGCAGGGGAGAGTCGGTGTAGTTGGCCCAGTCGCCCCAGGCGGAGCCTGTGGGCAGTTTGTTAAGGGATAAGACATGGGAAATGGGGGAAATCGGAGTTTCACCAACAAAAAAATGTGGGAAATGAGGATTTAACAAACAAACACATGGAATTTATAGTTTTTGTTCTCTTTTTTTGCAACAAAGGTGGTGAACAATTTAGGATTGGTGAATTCTGTGGTTTATGGTAGATATATCAAACTAGTTAAAGGGGTTTTATAAACCACAATATAACTAGGGGATAACTAGGAGGCCACCTTGTATAATATACAACAACACCAAACAAAATAAAAAACATATAGAAAGTAACATCCTACTCAACAAAAAATGGCAAATGATTGTAACGTAGTCTTCTATTTTTGTGGGGGTGACTACAACATGTTAATAAACAGGTCCCTAGGTTGTAAAAGTTCCTGCAATGAAACTAGGACAACATGGATCTACATGTACCAGTATGTATACATGTGCATGTTCTGCCCATGCTGCATGCCATGCTGCATGCCATGCTGCATGCCATGCTGTAATATTGCCTGAACATCCTCGCAGTAAGCTAAAAATGAGACAGATTCCTTTCCCAACAGCAGGAAATTCAGTTAATTACAACTATGAGTTTCCGGGAAATTGGACTGCCTCCAATT